TAAGGTCCAGGGTGCTGAATGGGACCCATGCAAACGGGTCCAAAGATGCACTCCAGAAAAATAGAATTCAGTCTTTCTATGATCCCAGATTCTTTTGTTCATCATTTGGGATATATCTTTTTCAAATCACTCCATCATCTGTGCCATCACTGAACTGAATCCAGGACTTCAGAAACTGCTGTCATCTGTTGAGATCTAGGAGACCCGATTGGGTGCTACATGGCCTGTCCAAGAAAGAACAAACAGATATTCCAGGATTTGATGATACGGCAACATTCTCAGGTCCCCAATGATTGTCAATGCCCTACTTCAGCAGAATGCACTCTTGAGAACTCAATATCCATATTCCTTAAATTGCCATTTCTAAAAACCCAACATTCAGTATACAGGGACAGTAGGAATGAAATGTTCAGGCATCAGGTTGTCTTGTCCATGGCACCTGGCTTGATGCACTAACTCAGGGAGTCCTCTGACAATCCAGGATTCCATGGTTACTAAGTCTGAAAGCATCTCCTAAGTACACTGTTATAGACAGATCCCTACCCAAATTGGCCGTCTTATTTCTCTCTCTCTCTCTCTCTCTCTCTCTCTCTCTCTGTCTGTCTCTCTCTCCCAGTCTCTCACCCTCTCTCTGGTTTTCTGAACAGAATCAGCTCTGGACTTGTTCAGGACTGTTCTTTACCAGATCGGATCATTTTTGCCTGTCTGTTTGTCTATGTCTCTTTTGCTGTGTGTGTTTCTTTCTCTGTCAGAGTACACCACTCTAAAATGGCAAAATTATGGTACTTTTTATTGTCCCATAGATACCCTTCTTTTTCAAACATGTGAATGCTTTCAGTCAAGTTGCGTGTATCAAAAAAGGCAGGTGATGTGTCTCCAATTTATGTTTTTGGCAAACCCAAAGTTTTCATGAAAGTACACGTTAGATGAATGGGACCCATGCAGAAAAGGTCCAAAGATTCACTCCAGATAAATAGTATTCAGCGTCTCAATGTTCCCACATTCCTCTCTTCCTCTTCCGGTACGTCCCTGGGAAAACCCTTCCTCATCTGACAATGCAACCCTCTGAAACCAGGACATAAGAAATATTTTGTTTTCTAAACATAACCTCATCTACTACACTGCTGACAACCCACGACCGTGCCACACGTTCTGGAAACTCCCAGGCAAATGGATGGAACTAGAAGAAACAATCCTGAGTAAAGTAACCAGTCACAAAAAGACAAACATGGGATGGACTCACTCATATATGGATTTTAGACATAGAGTGAAGGATTACCAGCCTACAATCCACACCACCAGAGGAAGTAAGAAACAAGGATGACTCCAAGAGAAGAATGCATGGTTCTACAGAGAAAGGGAAGGGAACATGATCTCCTGAGCTAACTGGAAGCATAGGGACTTGGGAGAGGAAGCTGGGAGAGAGGGGGAGAAAAGGAGGGGAGAGGAGGAAATCAGGGAGCAAGAAGATTAAGTAGGGGAAATAGTAGAGGAGAGCAGGATGAGAGATACCATAATAGAAGGAGCCATTATAGGTTCGAGGAGAAATCTGGCACTAGGGAGATTTCCAGAGTTCTAAAATGATAACACCAACTGATAATCCAAGCAATAGTGGAGAGGATAACCTAAATACCCTTCCTGTATAATGAGTCTGAGCAGAGGCAGACACCTTCTAGCTGAACATTTTAAGAACCCTTTTGCCACTGTTCTCAAAGCATTCAGATGAATCTGCAGGTGAGTAATGAAGACCACGAATCTCATTTTCAGGTAACATTGACCTAAGCAAGCTTCTGTTCACTTCTAGTACAAAGTCACTTTGTTAAGCATACATAAGAGATACGTTAGGAGATACATTAAGTTCATGCCAACTAAGAATCACTGTAGTAAATTATCTTTCCTTCAGTCTTGGCTTTTACATTTAGCTATCCATATTTTAAAACTCTTCAAGCTAGAAATGCACTCTCATCTAGTATCTGCTCGGCTTTAGTACTGGATCATTTAATTAAAAGTAAACATTGTGTTCATCCCAAGAAACAAAGGGACTTTTCATGGTTATATGCTCATCACTTCATTAGGAAGAAACTCCTATGTCTTAGATAGGATTTAAATGTCAATAACAAAATAGAATCTGTAAGTCATGCAGGAATCATGACTCTAAAAATAAAAAAGCCTTGTCATTTCACTAAAAATCATACTGAACACCAACTGAAGATCTGCATTTTAACCAAAGACGTCTACATCTACTACATAACAATCCTCTTTACTATCCTGACAAATTAGTATCCAGAGACACACCACTTTTTAGAGGAAAAACAGAAGAACAGATAATCCAATGGTCCAAAAGAAAAAAAGCTAGAATTCAACCTAATTGGATCTGGTTCCTGAATATGAAATCCTTCCTTTACACATAAATATTCTCTTCTTTGTGAAGAGAAATTGACTGACTATTTGAATTCTACTCTTTCCATCTCTTTTTATATTTTGTATATGCTATAAGTAGAGGCCTGATTCTAAGACAAAGGAATCAACATTTTAAAGCACCTAATCCTTAAGTTAAGCAATTTAAAGATTTTCAAAGTTCAATGCAGTGTGAAATGAGAGCATACATTCTTAATCCATATACAAACACTAACACATCAAAAATTATCTCACGGACTGAACAGACACAGCAGTAAATTTTACAAGTTAAAACTTAATGTATCTAAAGCTTAACCCATTATCTAGAACACATGTAATAAAATAAGCAAAAGTGTTGTATAAGTTAATGATGAATGAGATTTTACTTCTTGTTTGATAAATGGGGTTAATTGATGTTTATTTTTATTGTGTATGCTCAGAATATATCATAGGTGTGTTTAGGTGGCTAAGCAGTTGATGAATGTTAAGTTATATCAGATACATATTAAGAATAATAAATTAGGTAGCACTGTGTATTCCATGAAGCAAGGGTTATAACTAATATGCTACTTCTTTTTTTGCTGTTTGTTTTTTTTTATTTTGTTTTCAATGGAGAAACACATCATCTGTTTACAAAATAGCTCTTGAAAAATACAAGGAGTACAGTTACTATAAAACAAAGCAAACATTAGACATGAGACACTACTTACATCATGCTTAAGCAAGAGTCTGATCTGCAGGTTATGAAAACGAGAATTAAAAGTCACTACTTAGAAAAGATCCACATCTCCAGCCTGGTGAAACTTGGATGCAGTTACATGGATCGTTTATTAAACTGAAATTTTCCCCAATGTGTAAACAAAACGACAAGACTAATTCTGTGCCTGGTGATGTCATTCTAACTCTGGCTACACACAAGGACACCGTCACACATCACCTGTTAGCAGACCATCTTCTTTACTCAAGTGGTTGAAGGAAGGGCAAGGTGACTGCAGAGCAAGAGGTGGAGAGTAGAAATACTGTTTATAAACAATGTAAGTGGTAAAAAGAAAGCCTTAATTAATGCATAGCTTAAGGGGAAAGACTATTCTCCAACTTTGGAAATTAATTGAGAAGGACAGGGAAGAGTTTAAGTAATTGCAATTTAACATGAGAATGCTCAAACGTGTGATAGAATGCAGCGAGACAGAAGATTTAAAAACCCATGCTCACATAAAGATCTGATGCTACTGGTTTGCTTTATCCAGATTAACAAAGCTATCAACATCTTGCATCCCTCAGACGTCACAAAGATGGACGAGAATTCTGCTACTTAATAAGAAATTATTGTCTTTAAATGAGGTTTCTAATTTTTTGATAGAACAAAAAAATTCAAAAGTGGAGAGCTGACTAAAAGTCAAGTGCTTGCTAGAAATGATTTTTAAAATGTTTCTGTATGTAAAATTCACTGACAAATTTTTATAAACTAGTTAAAAATAAAAATTACTTTAAAAATCTGGAAGAAAATGCCTTTTTGTCCACTTTTAAAATTGTAAATCAATTTGTCTAAGACAGAGTTCTGTGGAGTGTACAAAAATCCTCTTAAGGATCAAATGGCAATCCGTGCGAGATGCTTCACAGGTATGGCTTTCAGTCATTCTCAAGTTCCAGCCCTGGGACCCAAGGCAGTGTTCTGTGCCATGTAGCTAATGGGTCACCAGTTTCACGTCACAGCTTAGGAAAATACTGGCATTCTGGTTTCTGCGAACAACCCTTACCTTATGTATACAAGCAAAGGGGGAAAAAGAAAGGCAAAAGGGGGATGAGGAAGCGCGTTCGTTGTTTTGAAGAGAAGAAACTGAAGGCAAAACAGACCTCCAGAAAGCTCAAGGAACAGACTGTTGGCAGACTGCTGATCTGTATGCACTATAAAACACCTCTATAAATAAAAGGAATATATATTTGTCAATCATAACCCCATCCAAGCCAAATGTCTCCTAATTTTTCTTTCAGTGTCCAAAGTATACCTTAGCACTAACAATTTAACCTAAGGGTCTCAATGCCTCTTCAGGACAGAGCTAGGGGCTCTCTTGTCCTCTCTGAGGCAGAGCAGTACACCACAGCACAAGGCATCCAATTTAAAGACTTATTGTAAAGAAAATTCTTTGGGAAAAAAGAAAATCCATTAAACTGAAAATCTAAAATTAGTTCTACTTTCTAATAAAAATACATAAAAGTGCATCATCAGAATAAGGAGTTCTTATGCCAGTTTGTATTGCAAATTTTCCAAACAATGCATCACACATAAACTCAATCCAGATGTCAATTGTGGATATAAACACAGCTTGAGGGTTTTGTTTTTCTTCCCTTTAAAGGCAGTAATTTTTCTGAAATAGTTAATGCAACTGTTGCTAACACAGTAATAATCGTACTCCTGGCTTCACATACTAACCTGGACCTCTGAGCAAGTGCTGATGAACCCAAGTAAGGGAGGTCACCAAACCTTAAATCCCCTGTCAATCATGTCTAGTCTTGTACCCTCCATTCTCCTTTCTTTCTTTCTTTCTTTCTTTCTTTCTTTCTTTCTTTCTTTCTTTCTTTTTAAGCATCTGAAGACAACAGGGTGAGTTGGAAGATACTGTTTATGGACCCTGAGGTGGTTTTACCAATTCAGTCTCAGTTTTATTGAATTCTTGATAACAGGAATAGGATTTGCAGGGAGAGCAGGGATATCAGAAAGGTCTGTACTGGATGTTTTCTGAGAGGCCAACAGAGAAGCCAATGCCGGAACAGTTTCTGATTGAATCGCACTCGTCTCTGTATCAACTTGTTCCTTTGTTTCTGTTTCATCATGTCCACTCAAATCAAGACAGTTAGCATCTTCATTTGTTTCATCCTCGTCTGTTTTGGTTTTCTTAGGACTTTCTTCCTTATGGGGTGAGGATGTTCTCTTGACTCCTGCTACAGGAATAGGTCCTTTTGTTGCTGCATTTCCTGAAGGTCTAAGTGATGGGTTTACCAGACGTGTTGAGGAGACAACTCTGGAGACCATAGGCTTTGGTGGTGGAGAAATGGCTGGCTGTGTGGCAGTTTGAGGAATGCTTTCGATTGATTGACCCCCTGAGCTTTCACTGTAATTTGCTTGTGGCACAGAAACCTCAGAAGCCTGGATGCTGGTCACAGATGCTGTGGTCACTGCTGGAGCAGGACTGTTTCTGCCCTGAGAGCTGCCAGAACTGTTCGATGGTCTGGTATTCATAGCACTAGTGGGTGAAGGCACAGACATGCTGTTATCACTGTCCATAGACAAGTCAAGGGTGCTGTCATTCAGAGCTGTTAACTTGACCCCTTCTGTTGAATGCTTTTTCCTTTTCTAAAGCATGTGACTGGGAAGCAGTTGATGGAGCTGTTTTCACATGCATTGCAGCAATCTTCATGTCCAACTCAAACATTTTGCTGTTTATTTCTTGCCTGTAAACTGTATCCGCGAAAGACTGAATGTCATAGGTCAGGTCCACACTGAGATTTTCAGAGTTTTTAGTTCTTTTAAACACTAATCCAATCACCCACATTGTGCGTAATTCTTCCTTGTCAGGATTTTCTTTGGGGGCTGGAAATGACTGGGGGTTCACATGCGCCAGTGTAATAAACTCATTCTTCTCCAAGCTTCCAACCAGGATGCGGATTTTTGATT